CTGAAGCATCAAAACAAGTTTGGATAAATTACTCTAAACTAATCAGAAATGTAAAAATACTGAAAATGCACACAATAGAGATGTAAATATGTATGTAATGATAATGGGGATATCAAGCATCGAATTATCAATTGATGAGAATCAATAGATTGCGGCTAACAAAACCAGGGCCATTAACTGATAAGCACAACTCTTAAGCATAGGACATGAATATAGGTCATCCACTTTTGTGATGCTACTAACCACTATGTCGAGTACGAACATCTAGTGAACTTTCGCTATTAGATATCGGTACTCTCCAAGCTTAAAGATCAAGCCCCAATAAGCTCACTTAGCTCCTCTACACACTTTCACGGTCAAAGGGTTACTAAGCCGAGCAAAAGATCGGTCCGGCATTCCATCAAACACCTTTCGGGCAGAGGAATACCTTAGGACGAGATTCAAGGCCGATGCAAAGAACCAAGCTTTATCCACAACTTAAGCTCGAGAAACACAATACACAGGCTGAGATTAAGTTAGCCATTTCTTTAAAACTTCTACATCTGCTAACCCGACGCTCGACAAGCTAACTACTCACTCATGGCTACGGGAAAAGCCATGATGGAGCTTGAGTGAGGTGTGAGTGATGCAATGCAAAGATAAGTGCTATTAACAAGTAAAGATTGAAACTTTAAGCTATAGGCAGAAACTTATAACTAAAATAACTTAGAACATCAAAGATCCGATGCTCTAAGGATCGATTACAACTAAAACGTAAATAGAAAGCTTAAGAACGTAAAAAGNAAAGAAGAACAAANNANNNNTNNGNTTTTTCAGGGGTTAAGAACATATTTATACCCCTTATAACAGTACCCGGGTAGGCCCGAAGCATAAACGGATCATTCAGTTCGAGTCAACGGTCGACCCAGAAAAGTCAACAAAATGCATTAAATATCGGTCATTCCATATTAGGGAAGTGATCGATTTCTGTTGCGCCTCCAGCGCATCTAGCAGCTCTCGTGTTGCGACACTAGCCCCTTGATGGGAGCAGTATATCGGTCTTCCTCATCAGTGGGTGCCGATATCAGGGGATATCGGTTTCTTCTGCTTATTCTTCAGCCGGTTTGATGCACCTGGTCCAACGGTCGGAGAGTCTTGATGCTCCATCATAACAAGGGGATAACCTGGGACATTTGTGCGCAGATTTGAGGGCATTGCAGTCCTGATTCTCACCCACGTGTATGAACTTCAGCAGATTGGTTGAGACTCCATCCTTCCACTACCCCAGGTGCTTCTCACCGGTGATTCCTGATGATTCAAGACTGATTCCTGCAACTTCTGCTCCTTGTTTTGCTCCAAGACCTTGCAATCTTTTG